TTCCCCCCGCCCCTGCCGCCTCATCTGCCGCCGCCGCACTTCTTCCTGTCGCCGCCCATTTGACAGCCGGGCCCTCCGGCGGACGGTGGGTAGGCAGCCCCCCGGACACAGGGCTGTGCTCCTCGCCGCCCTCCCCACGGGCAGATCCAGGAGGTGTGGGTCCGCGCCCTGAGTGGGGAAGAGGGGAGTGGGCGGGGAGAAGCCCAGGTCTGGGGGAGAAAGGAGCAAGTCTGAAAATAAACTCGTTTATTCCATTTTCTCTTCCTGCTCTGTAGCAAGCCTCTTGCCTGGTTATTTGAGAATGTAACTCATCCCGTGCTGATAAGCTGGCTGGTAATCAGGGCGGGTGGGGCTCGGGGCCCACAGCACGTGGCTTGAAGAAATGAAACATAAGTTTAAGTGCTTTAACTAAGGTACTCAGAATGTCTCATTTTCTTTTCTTTTTTGCTGCAAAAAGCTTTGTTGTTTCCATTTGGTCCAGTGCGTGGGAGAGGGCTCCAGGGTGGTTAAAAGGATGCCTAGTGGTTTCAGGGAGTGGCTCAGGCCAAAGCCAGACACCAGGGGGGTGCAGAGGGGCTGGCAAAGGCCTCTGCTCCAAAGGCTCCTAGTGGCGCTTGAGGGTGAGCCCTTCCAAGAGACACTTCCCCAGCCCAGCCTGGGGCCAGCCAGCCTGTGGAGTTAGTCAGCTGACAGTCACCTGTCTTCTTGCTGAGTTTCACCTCATCTAGGAAGTGGTTCTCCAGGAAGTCACAGAGCTGAGGGTCTGTGCCAGTAGAACATGGGGCACCCAGATCCAAAAGGGCCTGGTTTAGGTTCTTTTCCAGAGCTGTGGTGGCTCCCATGACGTCCTGAGTTTTACCCCACTCATCCTGGGAAGGCTTCAGCATGCCCTGGAAGAGAACTTGCCACTGCGCTGGTTTTGCATCTTTAAGAGAAGCTCGGTGCCCTCAAGCTTCTCCTCAGCCAACTCCCAGCTCGTGGAAGAAGTGGTCTAGGCCCTCCAAAGCCACATTGTCATGGTAGAAATAGAAGCCCAGAGAGAGGCAGGTGTAGGAGGCTCACAGATACAGGTTGGCCAGGTGGTTGGCAGCCTCCACCTTGGTGGAATAATTCAATGAATTTGGGAGCTCATGGTTGTCCGGCAATAAGGAGTTATTTTAGTTGTTTTAAAGTCTAAAAACCTTGTTGGGCCCTGGCTGGTTTTGTTCCGTGGTTAGAGCATCGGGCCGAGGACTGAAGGGTCTCGGTTAGATTCTGGACAAGGGCACTCACCTCGGTTGCAGGCTGTCCCCACCCTGGTCCAGGTGCATGTGGGAGGCAACCAATCAGTATTTCTCTTCCACATTGGTGTTTCTATCTCTTTCTCCCTTCCATTCTCTCTGAAAAGCAATGGAAAAAATATCCTCAAGTGAGGGTTAAACAAACAAAACCAGTGTTGGCTGATCTGGGAGACTGAGGGTGTCTGAGGTGGTTCCGAAGGTGGTAACTGGAGAAGAGGTTGAGGAAGGGTTTGGATGCCACTGCTAAGGCCCTCCTCTGCTTAGGTTCGTATGGCTTCTTGGAAACTCAGATCCTGCCTTCCAAATCTTAAGTCATACTTTCAACTGAAATAGATCCAGGGGACCCGAGGGCCTGGGCACACCAGGGAAATAGCAGTGTTGATGGACAATCGATACTGGGACCTGGAGCAAGGGTTGTGAAGTCATCCCCAAGAGACAGGAAAGCTTCCACGGTGAGTCATGAGAGGAAGCCCCTGTTCTTTCCCCGTCTTCACCTGCTTTCCACTGCCACCCTGCCAGTTTCTCCCCAGCATACTACAACTCAGAATAAAGTTCTCTTTGTTACTCGGTAGCTTGGGCTCAGGTAACCAGGCAGACGTCCTATCTCAATGGGCACTTCTGTAGCAACTCAGGAGCAGTATCACAAAGCCAACTTGACCTTGGGGGACCTCTGAGATCCTGGGACCTATCAGCAAGAAAGGCAGTGTATGAGTTTCCTGTGACTGCTGTAGCAAATCACCACAAGCTGG